ATGTTTTTATTTGCTAAGTTCATTTTATCAATTTTTTTTCCTGATTTGTTATTTGTATAAAACATCTTTGCCTAAACAAAAGTCATAGAGTTTCCCCCCGCCTCTTTCCTAAAGGGTTTATAGTTTCAGGTTTGTACATTTAGGTCTATGTTCTGTTCTGCCTGTGGTGGTATACAAAGTGCATCAAGGTTCTTATATTTATTCTTTGGCATATGGATATCCACTAGATTGAGTGGCAGTTGTTGAAAAGACTACCCTTTTTCATTTAATTGCTTTTCAATGTTTGTTGAAAATCAGTTGTTCATGTATGTGTGAATTTATTTCTCATGCTTCTTGTTTGACAGGCTCTGGCAGACCACGAAGATGAGATCCCGGAGACAGTACGGACTGTGCAACTCATTAAAGATCTGGCTAGGGAGATCCGCCTGGTTGAAGTAAGAAGCATGGTGGGAGGGAAAGCATTTGGGAAGGCCTCAATACACAAGTGATGCCTTCACTTTGTAATTGTCACAGAGCCCAGGGGAATGGTTAGGAAGACCCTTCCAAAGGCTCTGATCATTTAGTAATCAGTCATTCAAATCATATGCTTCGACTCTCTGCCACATACTGGGCTAGGCTCTTAGGATACATAAATAATACAGCGCCTGCCCGCAGAGAACTCAGAGTCTAGTAGAGAACCTCTGAGCTTCAGTATCCTCATGTCTGAAATGAGGATAGTTGTACTGACTCAAGGATTGTTAAAAGAATTAAATAAGGAATATGGATTGATCATTAAGTATAGTTCTTGGTGCACAGGAGGTATTCATGGTGGGTTGCGGTGGTGGGTGGTGGTGGTAGTTGTAGTTGTTATTAATATTTTTACTCAGTCTCTGCATTCTACAAAATGACAGTTCTCTCAGGTTGAAGATGATTACAAAGACATGTTTCAACAGGTGGCATATGCCACGAGGCAGTAAGGTATAGTGGTAAGAGATTCAGAGAAACATGGTTCTGGTTCCTGCTTGGTCACTTGAAAATTTTTCAGAGCCCCAGTTTCTTCATCTGTAAAGTGGGAATCAATTTTACCAATCTTTCAGAGCTTTGGTAGGATTAAGAGCTAATATATGTAGAGCCCCTCGCACAGTGCCTGCAGAGTAAGTACTCAATAAATGTGAGCCATTGTTATTAATAGACAAGAGAAGAACTTAGTGGGCTGGTGAAGTAGCAAAGGCACCAGAGAACAATTGAATGTGAGGATGTTTAAACTCTTTTTAGTTTAGGAACTATGAGGTTCCATTTAGTTTCCAGGCTATACATCCATGCTAAAGGGTAGTCAAGTGAACTACTGGAAGTTGGGCTTCTTGCCTCATTGTTTGCAGCATTTTTCACTGCCTACACCTTACAGTGTCCTACCTTGTTTTCTTCTACTGCAACTATTAAAATTCTTCAAGATTTAGTTAAAGCCCTACCTTTACTCCAGCTCTTCCTACTTAAACTAATATTGTACAAACAGAGCTTTGGACTGGTTTGAAGAGAACTTACAGATACATTATATATGGTTCATTGTCTTTCAGATGTTTTAAAGGAATGGAGTCCTTCTTTTCAAATGAGATCTTACATAGAAGCCCAGTATATATAACAAATCAAAGCACAGCTTCTTTTAGTAGGTTGAAGGTGGGAGGCCTAGGGCTCTACTTGTTCCTTTCCTATGTTTTCCTTCTACTTTCAGTCCCTAGGATTTCTCCTGGTAAGCTCAAAAGAACCACCATATATCTTTGAAAGTCACCTTTCCAGTCTGATCCTTTAGTTTTACAACTGAGTAAACAGAGCTCCGAAGTGGTCAGATAACTTCCTGATGTCACAGAGCTAGGTAGTAATAAAATTATGACTAGACTTTTCTCTCTCAAATGGTCTAGTGCTTAGACTTTGAACCACACAGTTTAGTACTTTTTTGTTTGTTTTGTGTCAGCTACTTTTGGAGTCTTTTTCTTTTTCTCCAATTTTGACAGTAGTGCTGGGTTTTTCCTTTGCTCGTCTTCTTATCAATGGCTGGGTAAAAGAAAATGCCACCCAATAAATTTTTGATGACTTGTGCAAAAATTAGGGTGTGCATATGTGGAGCATCTGTAAGCCATTTCCATGGCATTACCACCAATGCTGGGAACAGACCTCTGCTCTTAGAGTAGACAGAACCCTTGAGTAAGCTCTAACCCCCTCGTGTACTAACGCTCTTATAGGACATCTTCCAACAGAACGTTGGGAAGACGAGCAATATCTTTGGGCTGCAGAGGATCTTCCCAGCTGGCTCCATTCCCTTAACCAGGCCAGCCCATTCCACTTCAGTATCCATGTCCAGGCTGTCACTGCCCTCCAAAAGTGGTTCAAAGAAGAAAGGCCTGAAGCCCAAGGAACTCTTCAAGAAAGCAGAGCGAAAGGGCAAGGAGAGTTCAGCCTTGGGGCCTGCTGGCCAGTTGAGCTATAATCTCATGGACCCATACAATCATCAGGCACTGAAGACAGGCTGTTCCCAGAAAGCAAAGGTGGGTGCTGGCCCATGGGTTCAGCCCAACACTTTTGGGTCCCTTGGAAGCACAAGCTTTCAAAAGGACTGGATATCCTGTTCTACTCTCACCTCCCTTAGGGCCCCTGGTCTTTGGCTACCAGTCCCACTCATTTAATAGGCATTTATTGAGACCTTTACTATGCTTGGCACTGTGATAGGTGCTGTGGATGTTACTCTCAAGAGGCTGACAGGACAGTAAGAAAGATAGGTATAAAAACAAATGAGTACAGTGAAGTGTTGTGGATGCCACAATTAGGGGTATGTTTGGGTCCCTGACACACAAGAGAGGGTTGATTTTCTATGGTAGGGGAGAGGGTCAGCAACTCTCCTAAAAATAGGACACTTGAGTTGAATCTTGAAATGTTGGGATGGGAATGAAATTCTAGAATATTGTGTATCAGGTTGGAGTTTTGAACAGGTCTTTGAGACACCCCCTCCGCTCTAGGGCTTTACTTTGCCCCAAGATTATGGTACTCTCCATGGGCATCTAAAGATGCCTCTTTCCTTTTTAAGGGAACATGTTTTACAGGATTGATAACTTTCCCCTGAACCATACACTGTATTCTAAACTTCTTGCTCCTGTGATCTCTGGGGGTGGGGATTGGGTGGGGGAGGTATAGCAGATCTTGGTTCAGGGGGTTTTGACAGTAACTCAACCATGAAACCAAAGGGAACTGGCCTTCTTGACTCACCTGAGAGTCTCAGGCTGGTGACAACTGAGCCTCTTCCTTCTGCAGTTCAACATGACTGGTTCCTGCTTGAATGACTCAGATGATGACTCACCAGACATGGACCTTGATGGCAATGAGAGCCCACTGGCCCTCTTGATGGCTAATGGCAGGTGAGGTTAAAAGAAGAAACAGATACTGGGACTATCAGTGGCATTATGCCACTAGATCAGGGCACAGAATTGGTACCTAGGGGTTGGGATATCGGTAGGGAATGGGATGTATCTAGGGCAGTATCCCCAGATATTATCAGATATCATTGTTTAGATGAGAAAGTCACTGTAGAGGAAGATGTCTGGAATCTAATTGGCAGTCCTAAGAAAGAGCTTTTTTAAGTTCAAGAATTTCAGCAAGTCAGTGGGGCAGTACCATTGGTACAAAAGAGTAGTGTAGTATTCTGTTTAAAAGCATTAGTTTTTAATGTACCGTTTGTCTTTTTAAATTTTACTAGTACATATATGCAGTATAGAATGATTACATTCATTGAATATACCTTTTGTCTTGTGACTTGATTTTAAGGAATTTAGCTTACAGAAATCTTTGCACAAGTTTGTAAATAAAAACGTTCAATGCTTACTACTGTATGTTTGTAAGTAATTGGAGTGCTCCCTTTGGCAGCACATATACTAAAATTGTAAGCAACTGGAAATATCTACATTTTTATCAGTAAAGATTGGATAAATTATGGAATATGTATAGAATGGAATACTGTGTAACTGTTAAAGAGAATGGGGCAGTTTAATATTTGTTGACATAGGAAGAAGTCGAAAATGTATTCCTTTTTTGTTTTGAGATGGGGGTGTTGCTGTATTGCTTAGGCTGGTCTGGTCTTGAACTCCTATGCTCAAGCATCCTGAAGAGCTAGAATTGTAGGCACATGCCAGTTTCTAGTTTCAGGATACATTAAGTGAGAAAATGAGGTTACAAAATAATATATAGGAATAATTCCATTTCTTAAAGGCATTTGTACACACATGTATATTTTGCATGTGTAGGAAAGCAATATAGTCTGTCTTTCAAAATAGTTTAAAATTCAATTTGCAAGATTTAAAATTCAAAAAGTGTTAAAGAATGCACAGTGAAAAATCTTGTTCCCCTCTGTCTTCCTTTGTTCTCCTCACCATGGGCAACCAGTGCCCATGTTTGTCTTCCAGAGATAAATGTATTCAAACAAATAAATATACTCATTATATATTGTATGCTTATTAACACCAAATTTTTAAGAGTGGCAAGTTGGATGGGGAGGTGGGAAAGAAATTTTTCACTTCAGTAGCATTTGTCACATATACAATAAACATGTATTAGTTTTTTTATTACTTTTTTGACATGTTGGGTATTAAATCTAGGGTCTTGCACATGCCAGGCAAGGGCTCTACCATTGAGCTACATTCTTAGCCCAAAGGAATCATTTCAAAATATGCCACAGCATTCTAGCAAGGTTTCATTATGTTGCCCTGACTGGTTTCAAACACTTGAGCTCCAGTGATCCTTCACCTCAGCCTCCCGAGTAACTGGGACAGCAATCATGTGCTACTGTACTCAGCCTTACTTTTTAAAACATTAATTTTATTGGTACACTTTTTATGTACACAATGATCTCATTCTTTGTACGGAATTTGTACCTGTACATGATATATCGGTTTTTTTGTACATGATATATCTTGATTCTTCTTTTTTCTCCATTCCCCTCCCCTCCTTTCAACCCTTCTTCCCCTCATTTACAAAAGCTTTTGTTTCAATTTTTCCTTTCTATTCCCTTTTTCCTTTTCCCTTCCCTCCCCAAAACCTTTTTTTCTGGTGTGTGTGGGGGGGGGTAAAGTCTTACTATGTAGTTCAGGCTGGTTTCAGTGAAGTGTGCTCTTTTTTTTTTTTTTTTTTTTTGGTACTGGGGGATTGAACTTGGGACCTTATGCTGGCGAAGCAGGTGGTGGAACCACTGAGCTAAATCCCCAGCCTTTAGGCTAGTTTCAGACTTGTTGTCTAGCCCATACTAGCTTTGACTTCACAATCCTCTTGTTTCAGCCACCCAAGTGCTGGGATTACAGGTGTGTGTCATCATACTGGCTTTAAAATAATTTTCAGTTGGGCTGGGGATTTAGCTCAGTGGTTCCACCGCCTTCCTCACAAGTGCAGGAAGCTCAATCCCTGGTACCAAAAAAATTTTTTTCAGTGAACATTTCCTAAAAGAAGAAAACCTGTTCACAATAAAATCATAGTCTTGGTAATCAGCCAAACCCAAGTTGGAATCCCATATCTGAAACATTCACTATATGGCCTTGACCAATTAAGTAACCTTTCTTTACCTTAGTGTCTTCATTATGTCTACACTATAGATGAAACTTACCTTAGAATTGTTAAGAGGATTAAGTGAGATAATGTATGTAATGTTCTTATCACGGGGCTGGCACATACTAGATGCTTAATAAAAGGTAGCTCTTAAACTCGGATGAGGAAAATGGGAACGAAGTGTGGTAGTAATATGGTTATGGCCAAAAGCTAAGTAGATCATGAATAAATCATGAAGTATGTATGGAAGCAGAGGCAGGGGAGGGAAGTAAGGGCTATTATCTAGATACTCAGAACACTAGATAATGGCAATCAAGAGCCAAGTACAAAGTATGAACCATGTAGGAACACAAACAACAAGCATACCTTAATAACAGCCTCTTTGTAGAAAAACATTCTTTTTGGACATAAGTGAGAATGTGGTAGTTCCATCTAGCTAGAAAGTAAGGGAATGGGGAGACTAAGGTAAATTCTGAAAGCAATAGAGTTATTCTTGGGGTTCAAGAACCCAATAATTAAAGAATAGGATTAAGGAGAATACTGAGCATTGCTTTTGTTTCGAACTCTTGGTTAGTCTCCTGGAGAGATAAATTTGAGGATGAACTTTCTGAGTCCATCTTATAATTGTTATTGAGGATACAGCAAGATATATGCCCCCCTCTGCCACCTTTTTCTCACTACTTCTGTTACCTGTTGTAGCTTTCAGAAGCTGCTGTTCGGTGAATTGAGAGGGTCAGGATATAGAAGTATTTATAGACAATATAATAGTATGTCTGGGCTTTTCTCAAAGTTCAGTGTTTTGTGGGGAGTCAGGTGTAGATGAAACAAAAATTGCTGAAGCTTAGCTGTATGATGTGTGGAAGTTTGTTATACATTCATATTTTTGTATGTTTGAAGTTTTTTGTAATTAGAAGTTAATAAAAAAGACCTGAGCATGAATTGTATCATTTATTGAGCCTATACTGTGTGTCCAACTCTATCTTAGCTATTTACATGTTATTTAGTCCTCACAGCAGTCCTTAGAGTAAGTACTGGTACATCCATTTTGCTCAGGTGAAAACAGATAACTTAATTGCTATTGGGCACTTGCCATATTTCAAACTCTGCATTAGCTCTTTTAATTCTCTTAACAATCGTATGACAATGGAAAACAGGCCAATTTAATAAAAGCCAATTCACTGAAAGACATTTCAACAAAATAACTATTTGCTGAATGTGCGAATGTACTGATTTACCAGAAACTTTTATTTTATTTATTTATTTATTTTTTCCTCATTCAGTTTATTGGTACATTTTAGGTATACAGTACAGTTACATTCATCATTGGGATCTTGTACCTTTACATGACAGGTCTTGGTTCTCATTTTTTCCCCTTGTCCCTGCCCTCCCTTCACCCAGAAACTTTTTTTAATAGAAAGCCATTTTCCTGCCTTAAGTTTATTGGGTTATGTTATGTTATTTATTTATATATTTTTGTGGTGCTGGGGATTGAACCCAGGGCCTTGGCAGGCTAGGCAATTGCTCCAACATTGAACCATAACTCCCAACCCATTTGTTCTTTTTTATTTCATATTGTTTACCATGTATAACAGATTGTCTAAGCCATTATTGAGTTTTTTTACCATTTCCTTTGTGTGTGTGTGTGTAAACATTTATACATACTTATGAGTTACCATGTAATATTTCAATTCATAGTGTATTGGGTAGTGATCCACTAAGATAAATTATTTGTAGTGAGTACATTCAAATTTCTGTTCTCTGTTATGAGATATATTATGCATTATTGTTATATTCACCCTGCTGTGCTATAGAACAGCAGAACTTATTCTGTGAAACAGTAACATATTACCCTTTGGCCTCTGTCCTCCCTCTTCCTGTTCTTCCCAGTCTCTGGTAAGCAGTGTTCTGCCCTCAATTTGTATGAAATCAGCTGTTTCAGATTCCAGTTATGAGTGATATCTTTTGAAGTATAATTTATATACAACAAAATTAACCAGTTTCAAGTATACAGTTAAATGAACTTTAGTAAATTAAAGACTTGTTCAGTCATCATCACAATCTGATTTTGAAACATTTCTTTTACCTAAAAAAATCCCTTATGTTTGTTTGTACTCATTCTCATTTCTGGCTCACAACTACTCATCTACTTTATGCCCCTGTAGACTTGCTTTATGTGGACATTTTATACAAAAGGAGTTATATGTGGCCTTTTGTGTCTGGCTTCTTTCATTTAGGGCATAATTTTTGTGAGATTCATCCATGATGTAACATTTATCATTAGTTCTTTTTTATTTTTGGGTTTTTTTTTTTTTAGTGTAGTTTTAGGTTGGCCTTGAACTCACTATGTGGCCTAGGGTAGTCTTGAACTCTTGGCAGTCTTACTGCCTCAGCCTCCCAAGTGTTAAGATAGATGTGTGCCATCGTGCCCAGCTTGGATACAATTTTTTGTCAAATGGTATATCATTGCATGGATATATATATATATATATATATACACCACATTTTGTTTATTTACTAGTTGATAGTCAGATTTTGAGTTATTCTGGATAATGATCTGAGTATTCATGTTCAAGTTTTTGTTTCTTATCTAGGAGTAAAATTATCAGGCCATATGGTAACTCTTTGTTTAGCTCTTTAAGAAACTGCCAAACAGTATTCCATAGTGTCTATACCATTTTACTTTTCTAGCAGAAATCATGAAGTTTTCCACTGTTTTTTTTTTTTTTTTATGTGTGTGTTGGTGTGGTGGTACTAGGGATTGAACCATTGAGCCCAGATCCTATACATTGAACTACATCCCTGGCTCTGTTTTTAATTTTGAGACTAGGTCTTGCTAAGTTGCTCAGGCTATTAGCTCAAACTTGGGATCCTTCTTAACCTCTCAGAGTGCTGGGATTACAGGCCTAACATTTTATTATTGCTTGCCTTTTTTATTGTAGCCATTCTAGTATCTTATTTTGTATGTGCATATGTGTTTTTTGCAGTGCTGGTGATTGAACCTAGGACCTTGCACATGATAGGCAAGCATTCAGCTATACCCCAGGGCCCTAGATTGTATGTATTTTATGTATACAGTGTGATATTTTGATATGCATCTACATCATGAAATGATTACTATAGTCAAATTAACATAGCTCATCACCTCACAGTAACTTTTTTTTTAATGTGGTTAAAAACATAGATCTCTTAGGAAATTTTAATTATACAATGCAATATTATTGACTATAGTTACCTTCCTACACATCAGATTTCTATAACTTTTTCTTTTTTTCTTTTCCTTTTTTTTTTTTTTTTTTGGTACTGGGGATCATACTGGACCTGTTGCTTTCAAGGCAAATGTGGTACAACTAAGCTAAATCCCTGGCCCTAGAACTTCTATATAACCAAAACTTTATACCCTTTCACCAGAATCTCTCCTGCCTCATCCTAAACCTGGCAACCCTTTACTTCTGTGAATTTGGCTCTTTTAGATTTCACATTTGAGTGAGAATCTTGCAGTCTATTTGTTTTGTGTTTGGCTTGTTCACTTAGCATAATGTCATAAATGTCTGGGTGGTTTTGATTTACATTTCCCTAATGAGTGATGATGTTGAGGATCTTTTTGTGTGATTATGGACTTTTGTGTATTAACTTTGGAGAAATGCCTATTTGAATCTTTTGCTTTTAAATTGATTGTGTTTGTGTGTGTGGTACTAGGGGTTGTATCCAGGGCCTTCATACTTTGCTATATCCCTGGTTCCCCTTTTTATTTTTGAAATAGAGTCTCACTAATTGGCTAAGTTGCTCAGACTCTTTGAATTTGTGATTCTCCTACCTTGACCTCCCAGAGTGTTGGGATAACATGTACCACCACATACATCTTAAATCGATTTATGTTATTACTGAATTCTAAGAGTTCTATAAGTATTCTAGATACAAATTCTTCACCAGGATATGCAAATGTTTCTTCTCTGTGTGTGGCTAGAATTCATTTTTAATGGATTTTTTTATTGCAAAAAAGATTTTAATTTTACATATTTCCATCACAAAGATATTATCCTGTGTTTCTTTCTAGTGTTATAGATTTAGCTTTCATATTTAGATCTATGATGCATTTTGAATTAGTTTTTGTTTATGATGTAAATAATGATCCCCATTAATTTCTTTGCATGTAGATATCCAGTTGTCTCATTACCCTTTGCTGAAAGTTTTATCCTTTTCCACACAGAATTCTTTTGGCAAAAATCAGTTGTTCTTGAATTTAAGAGTTTATTCTGAACTCATAGTTCTTTCTCTCTCATCTGTCTATCCTTATGCCAATATCACATTGTCTTGGTTACTATAGCTTTGTACTAAGTTTTGTAGTTGAATGGGATAAGTCCTCTGTCCTTGTTCTTTTTCAAAATAGTATTAGCTGTTTTAAGTCTTTTGTATGTTCCTATAACTTTTATTATCAGTTTTTATAGAAAAGCTGGCTCAATTTTGATAAGAATTGCATTGAATTTATGGATCAATTTGGGAGAATTGCCATCTTAATTTACTGTTCTTTCATGGTGCTGGAGGTTAAACCTAGGCCCTTTTTGTGTATGCCAAGCACATGTTCAACCATAGAGTGACACCTCCAGCCCTGACCTCTCAATATTGGACATGACTGTTTTTATGTTTTTTTCCCCCCTTTCTCTCCAGTACAAAGAGGATGAAGAGCTTATCCAAATCTCGGAGGGCCAAAATGGCAAAGAAGGCAGAGAAGGCAAGGCTGGTGGCAGAACAAGTGATGGAAGATGAATTTGACCTGGATTCCGATGATGAGCTGCAGATTGATGAGAGATTGGGAAAGGAGAAAGCAGCCTTGATATTAAGACCAAGTGTGTATCTGTTCTTTATTTGTCCTTGTGGTCATTACTTCCAAGAAAATTATAGTCTTATTTTCTTTTCTCTGACTGTTTGACTCAGATGCTAATCTTTGCTTCATAATAAATATATTTCATTGTTTTTTAGAATTTTCCCGGAAGTTGCCCCGTGCAAAACCTTGCTCTGATCCTAACCGAGTTCGTGAACCAGGAGAAGTTGAGTTTGATATTGAGGTATGTGACTACCCTGTATCTGGTCTTCTGTTCATTCTGGTCATGGAGACAGAAGATATATTGTCATTCTGGCTCAGGAAGCTGCAAAGACATCCTATACATTTAATCCAAATATTTATTAATTAAAAGATTGTATGCTAAGTGCTGCTCAGCATATAAATGGAGATTACAATTTAGTTGAAATAGTTAAAAAATACTTTATAACAGAATAAAATAAAAGGCAGTGTGCTATAGCAAAAAGATAACATGATTTGAAATATTTAATATAACTTTGCACAAACTATTTTACTTCATTGGGTCCTAGTTTCCTAATCTATAAAATAGGAGATAGAGTGCTTTACAAAGATGCCATGGAAACTGGGCATGTTGGCACATGCCTATAATAGGCTGAGGCTGAAAGATTGCAAGTTTGAATCCAGTGTGGGCAATTTAGCAGCAACTTAATGAGAACCTGTCTCAAAAAAAGTAGAATGGGGACTGGAGTTGTAGTTCAGTGTGGAGACCCTGGATTCAGTCCTCAGTACTTAAAAAAAAAGCCATGGAAAGTAACATGAAAGAATGACTATTCTGCTTTGCTTAGTGCTTGTTCTATACTTTGTACTCAAAAGATATTAGAAGTCAAACTCATCCTTGTTGTGGGGCCGTAACAGACTAGCCTGGGACAGTTGAGATGACATGCTCTTTTCCCCAACAGGAAGACTATACAACAGATGAAGACATGGTGGAAGGGGTTGAAGGCAAGCTTGGGAATGGGAGTGGAGCTGGTGGAATTCTTGATCTACTCAAGGCCAGCAGGCAGGTGGGGGGACCTGACTATGCTGCTCTCAGGTGAGTATTGGCTTTGATCTCCCTTCTCTAGGTTACTAGACAGCAGCCCCCTGCCTTGACCAAGAAATTAGTTGAGCCAATCAGCAAATATATATATATATATTGAACCATTTAAGTGGACAAAGAAATATCCATGGCATTTGGGTTGAAGGAACAAAATAAATGTGAAACCTGTTCTGAGGAACTTGAGATCTGACAGTGAAAGGATAGATGTGTAGTCGTCAATGGGAAATCAATTTTAGGTGCTTTGAAAGCCGGAAGAGGGGCTGGAAGAGTAACATAAGAACTTGAAAAAGAAAAGAAAAGATTGTAGCATAGTAAAAGAGGATTGTCCCCCTCTTTTACCATCTTGCCTGCTGTCTATAAAGAGACATGAGGCTTCTTAAGGACTGGCTTTTCATGAAAACAATCTTTGATACTATCTTGATCCTTTAGCTTGATTTCTAGTTTTTTGCCTTGGGTGGTTCTCACCTTCCTCCCACCTTGATCCCCAGACCTGTTGTCCCTTCTCTCTATTCTGATGACTGGTTTCTTCTGACAACTAGAGAAACTCCCTCAGTATTTCTCCTCTATCCCTTGCAGCGAGGCCCCAGCCTCCCCCAGCACTCAGGAGGCCATCCAGGGCATGCTGTGTATGGCCAACCTGCAGTCCTCATCGTCTTCTCCGGCTACCTCCAGCCTGCAGGCCTGGTGGACCGGGGGGCAGGACCGAAGCAGTGGGAGCTCCAGCAGTGGGCTGGGCACAGTGTCTAGCAGTCCTGCTTCCCAGCGCACCCCAGGGAAGCGGCCCATCAAGCGGCCAGCATACTGGAGAACCGAAAGCGAGGAGGAGGAGGAGAATGCCAGTCTGGATGAACAGGACAGCTTGGGAGCATGCTTCAAGGACGCAGAGTATAGTAAGGGCAGCTAAGCACATGGGTTTAGGCCAAAAGGGCTCCGTTTAGCCCCAATTTCAATTTCAATCCAAGAGAGGACAAACTATAGAGAAGAAAGGCCTGACCTTAAGCTTGATCCTTAGTTTCTCTGAGTCATGTTTTCTTATCCTGTAAAATGGGGATATCTCACAGGTTGATGCAAGAATTAAGAGTTTATGATTGTACAGAGCATCTAACCCAGTGTCTTGCTCATGGGAAGCCCTAAAAAAAATGGTAGCTCTTCTTAAAAAGAAAAGTGGTAGCTCTTATAATTATCTACATCTATTTTTGGTACTGTTCAACTTCTATTCTTGCTACTCTTTTTTCCCCCCTTTTGCTTACTTAAACCACTTGCATTGTGTATGTTCTGTGCCAGTCAGCTCATCTTTTATAAAGGTATATATAGTTAGCTCTCCATATTTATGGGTTCCATGTTTAGAGATTCAACCAACCATTGAACAAAAAATTTGGAAAATAATTACATCTGTACTGAACATATACAGACTTTCCTTTGTCATTTTTTCCTAACGTAACAGTTGTTTACATAGATTTATATTGTATCAGGTATTGCAGACAATCTAGAGTTGAAGTATGCAAATACTGTGTAAAGGGACTTGAGCATCTGCAGCTTTTGTTTGGGGACAGGAGTTTCTGATCTAGTCTCCACCAATACTAAGAGACTTCTGTAATGACCTTTCAATGAGCTTTTTACATTTAAGAAATGAGTCTTAAAAGAAAATATCCAGGTATGGTGGTGCACTGCACACTTACAATTCCAGCACTCTGGGAGGCTAAAGCAAGAGGATCACAAGTTTGATTCTAGCTTGAGTGACTTAGCAAGACCTTGTCTCAAAATAAAAACTAAGGACTGAGGGTATAGTTCAGTGCAAAGGCCTTGGGTTCAGTCCCCCAAAAAATCCTTTTTTAAAACTAAGATTTATTGAATGCTCTGGTACATAAAGCACTTTTTTTTTCTCATTGAGTTTATTGGTACATTTTAGGTATACAGTACAGTTAACATTCATTATTGGGATCTTGTACCTTTACACAACAGGTCTTGGTTCTAATTTTTTCCCCTTGTCCCTGCCCTCCCTTCACCCCCTCCTCCCCTCCCCCTTCACAAACACTTTATTTCCATTTTTTCATTTTCTCATATTTTTTTC